AGAGTAATTTTATAAACGTGACAATTAACTCTCTCTCTCTTTTGGCTAGCTGTTAGCCTAGCCTGGACAAAGACTTTATGACTCTATGATGTCACAGCTTACAAGTACTAAGTAAATACTATTAAAATACTATATTTCAAGAATATATGTTTAAATGTGTTGTTTTTTTTGTTTTGTTTTCTGGTTTCTGAAGTCACTGACGTGGCTAACAAGCTACTAGCATGATCTCATCAAAATATTCTGTTACTTGTAGCAGTCATATCACACATTTGCAAAAAATAAGACAGAAAAACTGTTAAAACTAGCCTTTTCTGTTATTATGAACATCAATAAAATAATTTCCATGTCATTTTTTGTCATAGAGCAATCGCAGAGGGACCATAGAGGGACCCCAGAGGGACCCCAGAGCCGCGAGTTGCAGACCCCTGTGTAGGTAAACAAACATGGTGGAATTGGGTTAAGAGTCACAGAGAAGACGTTTAGGTGGAAATAGAAGAATGAATCATCTGCTAAACACGAACGAAAAGATGAATATTGAGTAAGACGACTGCCGAGAATAAATATTAGGTTTGATCAGGGCGCTGGAGCGCCTTAAAGACGGAGCTCAGGGTTTATGATTAGTTACCATTTGGTAAACAAACATGGAAGTTGGCATCCTGTCGTAAGTTTTTACTTTCAGGACAAGTTATCCATCAACATGAGGAAGATACTGTGCAGATTTTGCGTTTTATTTTAGCTTTTTCATAATTTTGCAATGAGTTCCTTTAAAAGATCTGGATCCAGACCGAACATTTTCTGGAGTTTTTTTGAACCGGGCGTGCACAAACCGTGCGCTGAGTGGAGCGAGAAAGGCACACATGATAAGACCACACATCTGAGAACTACGGCAAGGAGGTGGGGACAAAAATGGAGGGGGGGGGGGGGGGGGTTCTTTTGGTTTTAGTTTTTGGACAGCTTGATGAAAAAGTGCCTCTCAGTTTCTTTCCTTCAGTAAAAAAAAAAACAAAAACAAAAAAACAACCCTCACATTTGGATTTTGGGCCGACATCCCTGAAAGTCCTAATTTAGCTTCATCCCAGGTGCTTTTAGTGTGTGTGTGTGTGTGTGTGTGTGTGCGGGGGGGGGGGGGGGGCAGCCCAGAGAAATGTTCCTTTGCTGTTCAGAACAATCGGACCCGCTCCATCACTCAGGACTTTTATGTAAATAAGAAAACAGAGAGCGTGGGTGCAGGACCGACCGTGGGCTGCGCTCGCTTTCTCAGCCCACTTAGTTTTTTTAAACCCGCGCTGCTTTCATGGCCTCGGCGTTATTCATTTACATTCCTCAGAAGACAATTTCATCAAGCAGTTTAAAAGGGGTCATGCCATATCAAACAGGTTAGGAGAATATTCACAGTCTTAACACTCTCGGGTAGTTTTCTCGTGCATTTCAAGAGGAGGAATACACTATTTTGTTAACCAAATGCATCCAAACCATCTTTCCTGAGGAAAGGTTACACAAGACATGAAGAACAAGGAGGTGGGGGGGCAGGTTTGGGTAAAAAGTCATAAAAAGCTTTGACATTCTTTTGAGTGGCGTCCACATATTTATGCAACAAACGCCTCCTCCGACAACAAAGGGGAGATTGTTTTGCCCGGAGAATCAATTTCCCACTCCCACGCGCTCGTCTCGCTCGGCGCGAGGCCTTGATCCAGCCGCTGCTGCCGCCTCTAGCCTCAGCTGACTGCTCGACCTGTGGCCATGCTCCCATCTGCTCCTCCTCCTCCTCTTTTCCCTGGTCACCTGAGAACCAAACTCTGCTTCCTGTCAATCTCTTTTGGTTTTCTCGTATTTGGAAAAGAAAGCACTTCCCTTCTTTTTCGTTCAACAGAACGCATTCAACTCTCAAACGGGACCAAACGACTCTAAATGCTGGCGTTTTCGACGGTTCTCTCAGAAAGTGCACGAAGGAGCTTCACTCTAACGTTGGCTAAGAGCACGTTTACAACATGCCTTTGACATCGGATACACACGGGAATCGTACTGAACACCACTCAGAGGCTGGTTACACTAACGTCTCCTACTGGTGTCGGCTTCACACAGAGCAGGCCTTTACCTCTAACAACACACAATAATAATAATAATAATAATAATAATAATAATAATAAACTGCACAACGCTGCTGAACACATGTGCAGAACATTATTCAGAGGCATCCATTTTTTTTTTTACATGAACTGACGTGACACTTGGAGCCGTCCAGCTCGCTGCAGATCCGGTTGTAAAGACACACATGGACACGTTTTCTTCCAAAGACGAGACGAGTGACGAAATGAAGAAGGGGGCGGGGCTGGGGGGGGGAGGGGGGGCTACAACCCCAGTCCTGAATAAAACTGAACGTTGTCTCAAATGGAACTAAGAGCAAAATTAAGTCGTTTGAAAATCTTGTAAACCCAAATCTTATTTACAGTGAAACAAAGTGTCAAATGTTGAAACTAATACAGTTTTACCTTTTTTGTTTAATTAAATAAAAAAATATTATTAGAGGAAACATGTCTGTAAAAAGTTGGGTCAGGGGCAACAAAAGGCTGTAACAGTGTGTTGAACTAACAAAAACATCTGGAGGAGCATTTTTCAACTCATCGTGAACGGGTCCGTGAGGAGAAGTAAAGATGGGCAGAGGTTCAGCCGTCTGTGGAAAACTGCATCTAAGACTAGAGGAACAAGTTCAAAATAAAGTTCTGGACTGAAGAGTCTGTAGAAATCACTGAGCTCAAAGGTCCAGGATGAAGGTCATCACTGGATGGTCCTGATCTTCGGGCCCTCAGGGGCCACTGCATTAAAACCAGGTCTGGTTCTGTTCTGGGCTCAGGAACTCTTCCACAGATCATTGTAAACACAGTGCCATCCACAGGTAAAGCTCTTAAAGCTCTATCAGGCAAACAAGCAGTCATTTGTAAACAGCACCCAGAACCTCTGCCGTCTTCTCTGGACCAGAACTCCCTTAAAATGGACTGAGACAAAGTCCAGAACTGTTCTGAGGTCAGACAGATCCATGTCTGAAGTTCTTTTACAGAAACACCACGTCCTCCGTATTAAAGAGGAGCGGGACCATCCAGCCTGTTTTCACCTCTCTAATGGTATGGGGGTGCATTAGTGCCTCTGGCACTAGCAGCTTTCACATCTGGAAAAACTCCATCAAACAGAAAAGTCTCTACAGGTTTTAGAACATCTGCTCTAATCCAGGACTGCTGAACAGATGGTCGTCCATCAGACCAGAATGGGACAACATTCCCTCCAGAACCTCCAACAACTGGTCTCCTCAGGTCCTCTAGAACCTC